AAACACTATAGTAAAACACTAATAAAATACTAGAAAAATCCAAAAATCAACACAACATCCATATTAAAATGGCGCACGTAATGAACGTAGAATATAAATTAATATCCATAGACTAACTGTTTTTTTATTCCACTAGAATCTAGCTAGATGATAGAAAATTTCATATTGATTCTATGATGCCAAACTTCTTTATAGAAAGTAGTCTCTAAATATAAGTTTTTATGGGTTAAAGTGCTGTGGGTGGGTGCGGTCACATTTGACCGCTTGAATTTTGACTTAATATCGAAGTGGTCAAATTTGGCCTCTTGGTGTTTGAGAGGTTAATTGACGCTCCTTTTATCTATATGTGTTAGACAGTAAATCAGTTACAAGTAGTATATTAATAACAGTTTTCTTTCTCGCATAATTTTCTTGTGGAATCGACTACCACCGGCGATATTTCCGGACCCGTTTTAGGCCGGTTTCAGAGCTCGACCGACCGTCGGTGCGTACGTCGGTCGCGCTTGCTTTTGTATGAAAATTCACAAGTCGTTACAGTGCTCGACGGACCGTACGCGCGCGTATATAGCTACGCACTGCGTACGAGGACCGTCGGTTGAGCGCGTCCGCATGCGTACCGTCAGTCGACCGACGCGCTATGGAAACATATTGTTGACGCGTTAAGTGCTACACCGACCGTACAGATGCGTGTATCATCGTCGAGCAAATCGAACCTAAACTTTAATAATATTGTATGATTTTATAGGTATTAAGTAGTGTTAGTGATTTAAGTAATTTTTATCAAACATGGCATATGTCGACACTGAACGCCTCGCGGATGTTTTAAGTTGTCTTGTAATCTGATGATTCATCAAAACTTTTGATTGACATTCTAATGTAATTAAAAAAAATTCTTCATCTTCGCGCAATAATGAATATAAAGTAATAAATTCACCTTGATTGAGTGCTCTTTGGGCGACGGATTATGTACCTAATATCTACGTCTTCTGTTCCTTATACGTTTACGAACATAGTAAGCAGCAATTAAACAATTTGTAAACGCGTCCTTTTCGTGTACGTATTTGTAACTGTACCAGTCCGGCCAGTTTCGTTGCTCAGGAGAGCACTGAACGCTACAAACTGACGATCGGTTATGCGTATCGTCAGGACCGGATGGTACGCACCGACGGTCGGTTGAGCTCTAAAACCGGCCTTAGAGATATTAAAAAAAAGAATAAGTCCGGCAACGTATCTGCAATTCCCCTTGTGTTACAGTTGTTCATATGCGGCGTTAGGCACTAGAGAGGGGCAAACGAGCCGCATGCTTGTTTTTCTTCTATTTCTTGTTCTCTTATATATATAAAAAAAACACTTATTGCCACTGTTATATAAATTTGATCTGCTACGCAACATAAAGGTATTTGACACTCAACGGTTGAAACCTCACAGTGCTCTGTATTACCAATTGCCAGAACTACGTTTTTGCGCACTTACAATCATAATAGCGCTAATTCTAAACGGGCCTCTCTTAGAAGCGAGTATGGTAGATGAAAACCATTATCCATATAATACAAAGAAGCAGAAGACGTGAGCGTTACCTTGAGGCCTAGGTACTGTGACAAAACAAGTCCATTTCTCTGTTTAATCATAATTCAAAATTATATTGACTAGTAGTTCTTGTTGTGGTAGTAGTGTAGTTCTTTTTTCAATTTGTCAATTAAGGCAGGCAAAGGTGTTATACCATACAGCCTAGTCTGATGTGAATTTGGTTCAAACTGGGATATCTTTATTTCTTACTTCCTGCAGTAGTATGACTGCCAAAAAAAATTGTTCAGGATTTCAAAGCCCATATTTTTACATATTTTTCATTTGTAGACGCAAGAAAAAGTGTCAATAAAAAATTATTTGGGAGTTAGCCATTGTCCTTTAAAAACATTTCGTAGGCATGTGAAGTCCGCCAACACGCATATTTGTTCAACGCGGTTAATACATTCTTGCCCTAAGCCCCTTTCAGAAATGAGAGCAGGCCTGTGCCCAGGAGTGGGACGTACGTAGGGTGTAATTTTACTTTCTTTTACTTGCCTTGAAGACATTCATAGTGTTGTATTCATTCATTCATTCCTTTATTCATTAATTAATTAATTCACTGAATACAGCGTATCGAAAGTCTACTGCTAAACATAGGCTTTCCGATAGATTGTTTTATTGGGAGATTTTTGCTATAGTTGCCATCATAGGCAGGCAGGCAGGCAACCACAAGTTTTAATATTCTGAGTTATTATCAGGAAGATGCTGCTGCTTATCTCCAGTTTCATTTAACTCTATTGTTTCTAACGACACCCTCGGGATGATATGGGTGGTGGATTTACTGTATTTGTAATATAATAGATTAGAATAAAAGAGAATATTTTTTTATTCGATATAAATTACATGTAGTTCTTATTGAAAGTCATTTTCTACTTTATCACTGGTTCGAAAAAAAACCTCTGTCCTGGGAAGAACCAGGAAGAAATCCAGCGGGCATTTTTTTTAAACATATTTTACAATATATATAATTTATTTCAGAAACAGCTTGGAAGCGACCACCTCATTCCCAGGGTTTATTATCAACCATGTATTAATTTATAATAACCCTTTTTATACAGTTTTTGTTTAATTAAATATTCAAACTTGGTAATAAAGAGACCATGTATATTTTTTCTTTTTTGTAATAACGTATAGATTTACATTGCCCCAAGAATGAAATACTGACTTTGTGGAGTTGAGAAACTGGTATCACTAGCTTGTGTTTGTTCCTAGTGTTTATATATTATATTATAGTATTGTTATTTAATATATTGACATTTAGATCGATGTGGAGAGCACTGAACGCTACAAACTGACGATCGGTTATGCGTATCGTCAGGACCGATGGTAAGCACCGACGGTCGGTCGAGCTCTAAAACCGGCCTTAGGGATATTAAAAAAAGAGTACTCTTTTTTAAAAGGCCGGCAACGTATCTGCAATTCCCCTTGTGTTACAGTTGTTCATATGCGGCGTTAGGCACTAGAGGGGGGGCAAACGAGCCGCATGCTTGTTTTTCTTCTATTTCATGTTCTCTTATATAAAAAAAAAACACTTATTGCCACGGTTATATAAGCATTTGATCTGCTACGCAACAAAAAGGTATTTGACACTAAACGGTTGAAACCTCACAGTGCTCTGTATTACCAATTGCCAGAACCAGGAGGACGCTTTTGCGCACTTCCAATCTTAATAGCGCTAATTCTAAACGGGCCTCTCTTAGAAGCGAGTATGGTAGATGAAAACCATTATCCATATAATACAAAGAAGCAGAAGACGTGAGCGTTACCTTGAGGCCTAGGTACTGTGACAAAACAAGTCCATTTCTCTGTTTAATCATAATTCAAAATTATATTGACTAGTAGTTCTTGTTGTGGTAGTAGTGTAGTTCTTTTTTTCAATTTGTCAATTAAGGCAGGCAAAGGTGTTATACCATACAGCCTAGTCTGATGTGAATTTGGTTCAAACTGGGATATCTTTATTTCTTACTTCCTGCAGTAGTATGACTGCCGAAAAAATTGTTCAGGATTTCAAAGCCCATATTTTTACATATTTTTCATTTGTAGACGCAAGAAAAAGTGTCAATAAAAAATTATTTGGGAGTTAGCCATTGTCCTTTAAAAACATTTCGTAGGCATGTGAAGTCCGCCAACACGCATATTTGTTCAACGCGGTTAATACATTCTTGCCCTAAGCCCCTTTCAGAAATGAGAGCAGACCTGTGTAATTTTACTTTCTTTTACTTGCCTTGAACACATTCATAGTGTTATATTCATTCATTCATTCATTCCTTTATTCATTGATTAATTAATTCACTGAATACAGCGTATCGAAAGTCTACTGCTAAACATAGGCTTTCCCATAGATTGTTTTATTGGGAGATTTTTGCTATAGTTGCCACCATAGGCAGGCAGGCAGGCAACCACAAGTTTTAATATTCTGAGTTATTATCAGGAAGATGCTGCTGCTCATCTCCAGTTTCATTTAACTCTATTGTTTCTAACGACACCCTCGGGATGATATGGGTGGTGGATTTACTGTATTTGTAATATAATAGATTAGAATAAAAGAGAATATTTTTTTATTCGATATAAATTACATGTAGTTCATATTGAAAGTCATTTTCTACTTTACCACTGGTTCGAAATTTTTTAAAAAAATAGGTTTTTTTTTTTTTTTTTATGGTTGGTGTTGGGGAAAGTGCCTTTTTGGGTCCGGTGTTTAACCTCTGTCCTGGGAAGAACCAGGAAGAAATCCAGCGGGCATTTTTTTTTAAATATATTGTTACAATATATATACAAATTTATTTCAGAAACAGCTTGGAAGCGACCACCTCATTCCCAGGGTTTATTATCCACCATGTATTAATTTATAATAACCCTTTTTATACAGTTTTTGTTTAATTAAATATTCAAACTTGGTAATAAAGAGACCATGTATATTTTTTCTTTTTTGTAATAGCGTATAGATTTACATTGCCCCCCAAGAATGAAATACTGACTTGTGGAGTCGAGAAACTGGTATCACTAGCTTGTGTTTGTTCCTAGTGTTTATATATTATATTATAGTATTGTTATTTAATATATTGACATTTAGATCGATGTGGCCTGTAGTGATGGGGAGTAAAATTGACAGTACTACTCTGCACTCACTAACCTGTCTGCCCAGTGTGGTGTGTATTGTGGGAAAGTCTTTAAAGAAATGTAATTCTAGCATTTCAGAAATGTCTACGTATAATCTTGCCTTAACCTGGATCTTTTTAAAAGTTCTTAGTGCAAAGGAATGCAATACAAGTCTAATCTTTTTGTTCGGGCCTACTGAAAAATAAGAAATTACGGGCTGATGTAGAAAAATATGGAGTCGAAAAAATAGACTAAGTTTTATTTCTGAAGGCGGTTATCTTTAACAAAAAACACATTGTAGCCTCGTATTTATTATTTCGATACTTTGTCCACAGTATATTGTCGAGCGACACGGAAAGACCCTGCTACCACAGTACCTCGGTATGTACCGGCTGACGGTAGACGGCATTGAGCACTACCTCGTCGCAACCAGAAATGTCTTCTCCAACCACCTCAATATACACAGGTACATAATTAAAAATAATGGTTTATCTGCCATAGTCAATCCCAAACGTTGCGTCTAATATAACAAGTGGTAAAATTAAAATTTGTACAACCGACTTCAATATAAATAAAATGAGAACATCATCAATGTATTCGGAGTCAATTAAATACTCATTATTAAGGATAACTCAAAAACTACTGGCCAGATCTTGATCGAATGTATATGGAACCACATGAGAAGCACCAACTTTCAAATAAACAAAGAATCATCAAAATCCGTTTACCTAGAAAAAAGATCTGAGGTAACACACAAAAATTACAGTCGAATTGAGAACCTCCTCTCTTTTTGAAGTTAGTTGAAAACTAAGTGTTTGCGTTGACGACAGACCAGTACTCAGTAGACTTTTCTCCGCGAAAGTCGATTAGGCTGCATACTTTTGTTCGTTAAAATTAAAATTAGGAAAATTGTATTATTTTTTAATATTTTTTCGAGGGATTTCAATTTTATAATATATATATTATGGTATAATTTTATTTTTCCCTTAAGTCTGTACCGTCAGTATCCAGCAGAGTAATACTTGTCTAGAATCCAATAATAGCCAGTCGGCCGTCTCAATGGACTCTACTAGACACTTGCGCAGGACAGGATTATAGTGCCCGAGTGTAACACAGCTGCACTCTATTCCCTCACTCTCATAGTCCGAATGGTCTGTACTCCAACGCGACCGGAGACGTATCTAGGGCCAACGGCCTTACGTGCTTTTACGTGCTACACCTGATAGCTGATTTTTGGTCTGATTCGGGATGCCTTGTTGGTCTAATGGGTGTGAGACTGATGATCATGAGGTCTCGAGTTCAGCGGAGTATAGGGTGTTCGATGGAGTATCATCATCATCATTATAGCTCTTCACACATTCACTGCTGAACATAGTCTCCCCTAAAGTATGATTCAAAGCACGGTCCTGAGCCACATGCGTCCATCGACTTCCTGCATATTGTTACGAGCTTAGGGTTCGTGACAATAAAGACTGCCGATTGAATTAACAAAATTAACACTTTAAATACCGAACACCAATTAAAACGTAAATCACATCACACTCATTATTAATCACACTTAACACTTTAGTTCACTTTATTTCGCTCTGAAAGCTTCGCTCGTATCGCCAATTCAATACTGCCCCGATCGCGGCTTTCAACGGCTTTAAATAGGGCTCTTCCACAGAAACATTCAGAATATTCCAGCAAATACGGACCCCGACCGACCAGGCGCAGAAAGTTCGAGTGTGGGGCTTTCTAGAAAGCTCAGTTCCTCTGTTCGATAATAGATGGCGCTAGTGCCATCAACTGTGGCACGCAACAGTATCATACCAGGTCGTCACTCCATCTAATGGGAGGCCGCTGTACACTCCGCTTACCAATACGAGGTTGCCACTCGAGAACCTTTCTTCCCTATCGGTTGTAGATTCTTTGAACTATACGGCCGGCTCTTTTCCACTTCAGCTTACTAATCTGTTGATCTATGTCGGTTACTCTGGTTCTACTGGGGATATCCTCAGCTAAGTTTATCATGCAGGGAAACCCCGAATGTAGCCCTCTCCATAGCTTGCTGAACGACCTTGAGCTTCCTCGTACGGCAAGCAGTGATGAACCATGTCTCAGATCCATATGACATCATTGGCAACATGAACTGTGTCGGTGGACTTTAGTTATACATATAACAGTTATAACTAAATTTAATAATAGTTATAACTATTATTGAATTTATTCTGTAACTATTATTAGACTAGTACGCAGCAATTTTTGTACGCCGTCTGCGTCATGTCATACTTTCAATCTACTCTTTATTCACGGACAAAAAAAAGTACGACGCGGACTGGTCGTTGCCTGCGGAGGCTCTAACCTGTATAATGTACTTTTAGGGAATACTTTATATTGCGTTCATTAATACCAGCGTAAAATAGCATCTTATATTGCTGTGTTTCGTATGGTGATTGTAGAGAACCGGAGAACCTTTTTACTGGAAACAAGGCTTTCCATCGTAGTGCTCGAGAGTGACAACGCATCTGCATTTTGATTAATTGAAGGTAAATATAGATGTGTATGGGCCACAGCATCCATTTACCATCAGGTGGACTGTGTGCTCGTTTGTCACCAACATTCTATAAAAAAATAAACTCCATATCGTCACGTGGTTGTCGTAGGAGGCAATAGAGGGAAACGAACCAAGATGTGGGCGGCAGCGTTTTCCCAATACCACCTGGAAAAAATGGATGCCAACTCCCTTGTTAATAGGCCCTTAACTACCCCCACTTCCCCGTGCGTCGTATGCTATCTACCGATATATTTGTAATCACTAATACCGTAAGTAGATAGGTCGTTAGATACTTATTATTATATTTTTGTAGCAGCTACGGTAAACAGAGGCATTCTATGGGCAAACCTATGTTACGCAGTTGACTTTGATAGGTTATTATGAACGAATAAATGAAAAGAGCTGATAAAACTCTTAAATGTTTACAAAAAACGTTACATGGTCCCACTTAAAAGTTGTGTGCAAATATAAAAATTGTCTTTTAGTGCAATACAATTATGCTACCCTGAATTTTTGAGTAAAAATATGATTAGGTAGTTTATTATCATTTTTCACTTGAACCTTAGTAATACTTTACTTAATTAATATTTTACTTGAATCTTAGTAATACATACTAGTAGAAAGCTAGTCTTTTCCATTTCGTCATACGCTGTCTTATTATGATTAAATTTATTCCGTACAGAATCACAATATTTGTAAATATATTCAAACTGGCATAAAGACTGTAACTTTACTTTTACCTTACAAATTATTTGACTCTATTTTACAAACCTTTCAATCCGCATAGCCATATTGAACCTCGCTATAGATACTTCTCTCTTAAGTACTCAAAAAATAATGGCTCATATTTTTTTTAAACTGGTAAGACTATCGAACTTCGTAATAAATGTTCTGTTATATTACTATTGTGCAACCAGTGCTAATTGTGTCAGCAACTATAAACTAGTATTAAGTTGGTTATAGGGTTTCTTTTTTTGCTTAGGTTGTTATAGATGATTCTTAATTGATATTTCTGCCTTAATGCAACAGTTAAAAAAAGGATTTTGTTTAAAATCGAATTAACTGCGTCAGTTGCCATGGATGTACTATGAAGTAGTTTGTTACTCTTTATACAATATCTTGTAATTACAAAATTTATATTAAAGTACTCTTGGTTTACTTTTTCTAGGAAGTACGATTTGAAGGGATCGACAGTGGACCGCGAGGCGTCCGAGAAAGAGCTGGAAAAGGAGTTGCCCACCCTCAAGGATAACGATTTCATAAAGCAAGGCGTCAGGATTGACATTGGTGACGCCGCTAAAGAAAAGCTACTCGAGACTCTCACCGCTGATGTGGAGGTAGGAACTCTGTTTATATCGATTTTAAGAAATTTAATTTTCGTTTGTCAGATATCACTCTGTGCTATAAATCCACTTAATACCTTTTGAAAATGAATTTAGCCTATGGCGTAATAAAACTTTACTGGTCTTTGCTTCTTACATATAATCCGCATTGATCAATTTTATCAGTGTTTTTACAATTGGTCAATATCACTACAAAACAAAAAAATATTGATATTAAACACATAAAACTTTAATGGAATATCTATTTTAGCAATAATATGAATATATTATTTAAAATTTAAACGGCAGACAAACCCACAGTCCACTTGACATAAAGTAGCTATTGCAGATCACGTACAACTGCAATCTACACTAGTCAACGTCGAATGGCAGCCTTGTATGGGAATCTCATACCGCTAATAAAATTTCGTGTTAGTGGGATATACAAATACTTTTTAAATTGTTAGACTTTTAAAACTTGGGACATAAAAGTTATAACCAGTTTTATTTTTTAAGGTTATGTACTAGTGTTCCAATGTAGATATTTACATATAGACAAATAAATATTGTTTTGGTGATAAAGTAAATATTCTATATTGCTTGTCGCTATTTTTGCAGTGTTTTACTTACCATTAGGTAGGTAGATTGAGATAAGGATCGGTATCTACTCAGCGGTGTGCATTAGAAGATACCTACATTCATAGGACTGCAACAGTTAATGGTGAAGTTCTGATGGGATTTTTTTCAATAAATAATTGCCATATGATCAAAAAAAAATGATAACGAAAATCATTCCTATCGTTAAACATTATAATTTTATGCATCAATTATGAATTCTTAGATATAATGTGTTTAATTATATACTATAGTGTTATTTATATTTCCATATAATTAATTATTATTTCGATACTTGTGTTATTTTATATGCCATAACCAAGTCTCGCAACTCAGTTCTTCTACTGTAAAAAGTTGTGAGATCCATGTAATACCAAGTCGGTTTATTTATTATTTAAGGGTCCTTCTGTTTTAGCTAATTACGTAATAATTTAATTATTACGTAATTAGCTAACCTAACAACATCTTATAGTGACCATACCAATGTTAAAAATATTTGTTTTAAATAAATAGATTGACTTGGCCATCGCATGAAAATACAGTATATCTCACAAGTATTAAGTATTATATTAAATTAGATTGTTTAGTGTTTGCTCGACTCGGCGGGGGGCACTGCTGTGCCTCCAGATATGGCAACTTCTAAAAACGTAATTGCGTTTAGTTTACGATTATATTGCAATTATTTATTAATTTTTTTTTTATTGATGATTATTAATTAATCCGAAGTTTTAAAAATAGTACACTAACATGAAAATAAATGGCTTAGTTGTTTTTTATACTTGTCTGAGTGTAGAGAACCGGAGAGCCTTTTTACTGGAAAAGAGGCATTCTATCTTGGTCCTCACGGGTGACAACGTATATGCATTTTGATTCTTAATTAAGGATTAACGTGCTTGTTTGTCACCCTTATTCTAATTTAAAAAAAACTGTCAATTAATAAAACAACATTATTAATTATAATAATTATTAATAACAAGAATTATTTTAGAAGACTAGTTCGAAAGTTCTGTCGTAAAGATAATCCACCTGACTATCCGACTATTGTTTTTTTCTCTCTTTCACTTTATAAGTAATATTTTGTATAATGTATTTTAATATGTATTGTGTTATTTTATATATTTCTTATTTATCCTATAAGTAAATATGTATATTTTACTAACTATATATCTATTCTCTTCATTTGCATTTTATTTTGTTTTATATCCTTATTATTTATTTATGAAGTGATTGATTACACCTGCCACAATTTCTCAAATCATCCAGGGTTGACTGGTAGAGAATGCTATAAGGCGTTAAGTCCGCCCTTTATATCCCTTAGTATATAAGGTGTATAATAAAGATTAAATAAATAAATAAATATTAATTCATATATAGAAATCATAGAAATTAACAAGGAGATAGTGACAATGTTAGACAGAAAGGATCCCTACCATTTATAAAAACAAGTGGCATATTTTTAATATTAGCCTTTTTATTATAAAAACATAGATTGTGATAACATTTATTGTATTTGATTTAAAGTTTTTTTAGAGGAGATTATATCATAATGTCGTGTCTTAAAGTAGTCTTTGTTCTGTAAGCTTCTTATTTGTTTATAGATCATATATGTATTGAATATTTATTTCTCTGCCTTCACTAGGATAATATGTTTCACAAGATTATATCCATCCGGGAGTCCATCTGGGTAGCTATCAGCATCTTACTTGCAAGCAAATAGCTGCGCACGCATTACTGTGCGAAAGACAGTAAGGTATTCTATAGTCTTCTTCTGAGTCCTCAAAGGTCACATCTGTAGTTTTCTTAGTCTGAATTGAGTTAGTTACAGGTGTCCTACATCAAACGGAATTCGTTTGTCACTTTCGTTTAATAATATTATATATAAGTATTAGAAATAATCAAAGTTCATTACCGCATTGTATACAGGCGTTTGTTTAACTGTATCTATAGTTCCTAACGAAACTCCACCTGATGGACTACTCGTTGCTGCTGGGCGTGCACGAGTGCGGGCGCGGCGAGGCCGAGGCCGAGGCGGCGCGCCAGCGCGAGGCTGAGGCCGACAGCGAGCCTGACTCCGACACCGACAGCGACACCGACAACCGCCACCACGGCGACAGGTAGCGCGCTCTCGCTCTCGCTCATACTGTCGCAGGCGCTACGCCAACATGTTACGCCCTCTCCCTTCCACAACACACACCGGCACGATTTGACGAGGATTCATAACACCCTTTCAGCTCTCACTCACATTGATATCACAAAGGCAGGTAACCAATCTCACACCAACACCTATATACGAAACATAATAATAGGTCGGAGAAAAAGTTTCGTCGTATTTTTGTAAAAAATTGAAGAAAAATCTCTTTGGTTGCACTGTTTGTATCTGGCTGGTTTTAGTATCAGTACATATAGGACATTTAGAAGAAGAAAAAGAAAAAGTAAAAAAACACTCCCGCCATTTTACAATTGTTTTTCCGTCAAAATGAGTGAATCTAACGAAGAAATTCGATACATTTTGAAGTTTATTAAAAAAGAGAGAAAAATGCGAGTCGAGACGCGTAAAATTTGTGACGTTTATGAACCTAATGCATTGTCAGTAAGAGTATCACAAAGTTGATTCAAGCGTTTTCAGTTCGGGAATTTTGATGTCAAAGATGCAGCTCGCTCTGGTCACCCTCATACGGATAAATTCGATGCCATTTTTTAAATATTTAAGGCAAGATCGGCATATTAGTAGTAACGATATAGCCGAGAAATTTATGATTGACCACAAAACAGTTTTGACCCACTTAAAAAAGTCCGTCTATATAAAAAAGCTAGAGATTTGGGTACCACACGAGCTCACTGAAGAAACCTAATGAATCGTGTACTCATTTGCGATTCTCTAACGAAACTTAATGAAACCGAAACATTTTTGAAAAGATCGATCACGAAAAGTGAATCACCTACGACAAAAAAGAGCGAAAAAGATAGTGGTCAAAGGGTATTAACACGCAATAAGGTGATGCTGTGTGTATGGTAGGATTGGAAGGGTATCGTTTATTATGAGCTTTTACCGCCGGACAAAACCTTCGATTCGGATCTCTACTGCTGACTACTAATGAGACTGAAGCATGAAATTGAGTCAAAACGGCCGGACCAACTGAAAAAGAGTGGTCTTTCGTCATGATAAGCGATAACGCCAGACCACACACATCTTTGGTCACTTAGCAAAAACTGAGAGAGCTTGGTTGGAAAGTGTTAATGCATCCACCATACTGAGTCCTGACCTTGCACCCTCAGATTTTCACCTGTTTCGGTCTCTTCAGAATTCTTTGGGTAATGTTAGGGTAACATCAAGAGAGGACTGTCAAACTACTTGTCGCTTTTTTTGATCAGAAATTTCAAGATTTTTACCGCAACGGGATTATGTCATTACCATATTATTACTAAACATATTAAAATAACATATAAATTAAAATTAAACATTTAAATATAACATATTAATTAAAATTAAATATAATTAAACTTTGAAAAAAAAAATGACTTGAATTTGTATAAAATATGAAGAAACTTTTTCCCCGACCTTATTTATTCACACCATCATCACGGAAAAATGATAACATATTCACACCAATATTACGACGAAAAGTAATATACTTGCACCAATATTAGTACGAAAGGTAATGCACTTATACTAATATTACGACGGACGTTGATGCACTTACACCAATATTACGATGTAAGGTAATGAATGCACTTACATCAATGTTATGACGGAAGGTAATATTACGACGAAACTGCATTTTTATTCTTAATAGCGGGTAGATTTGATGTCAATGACCTACAGCACCCACTAACCACCAGGGAGACTGTTTTCTCGTTTGTAACTCTTAGTTATTTCAGAAATATTTTCATGTCCTGCTTTCTAAAAAATAAAAATAAATAGCAGTGTTTAAGCAAGAGGTTTTATTTGCAAAAAGAATTTGAAATTCTGCACATATCATTTTATGTTCTATAAAAACATAATATCGTTTTTTTTTACGAATGTAGGGCTTACTGAATATAAAAGTTGAGCACTAAGTGCCTTACAACTTAATATCTAAAGGATGAAATAGTGTTGGATTTCTGTTGTCCTCCATTTTGTTTAATAGGAGGAGTCCTTTGCTTTATAGAAGAAATTAAAGAGCAGTCCTTCGTTCACCAGACACTAGTGTAAAATCTAAAGGTCACGGCTCATTAGAGCCACCCGGCACCCGACCCTCACCGCCTAGCCTCGAGCGGCCTGCGCTCACTACATCAACTCCGTACCATCACCGGATCGCCTCGCACGCGAGATGTCTACTCGCGGACTGCGAGTGGACCAATCGATGATAGCTCGCTGTTGGCATGCTTGCCTCGCGTGAAGCGCGAGCTGGCAACGCGCGGTTCACGCGAGTGCGAATCGGCAATCTCCAATAACCCTTAATTTCGAGCCTTCCTTTCGAATGTGTCGGACGCATTGTTGTTTGTTTTTAAAATGAACAAAGAAAAACTTATAGAAGAAGTTCGGTAGTATAATTTATTGTATGATTTAGGGGTCACTCGTCGATCACGCGAGGTCCATTCGTTGACGACGCGTGGTTGACTCGATGACCACGCGAGGTTCACTGGTGACAACGCGGCGTCCACCCGTGGTGCACCTGTCGAATACGAGTGGACGCCTGCCTGTGACGAGGCGGTGAGGGTCGGGTGCCGAGTGGCTCTAATGAGCTGTGACCCTATTCCTTGTAGCCGGTGTGTGTTTTTTTTTTGAGCGGTATATATTTTGACCAGGTGGGGCTACAACACGCCACCCGACAGTCCGCGCGGCTTCGCTCGCCAGTCTTCGCTCCGCTACGAGGGCATCATACCGGAACTCGATATATACGCGATTCCCAGCCAGGAAGGTGAGATATCTTTTTTTTTAAATAGAATAAGAGTGATAAGCGAGCACATAGTTCACCTGTAATAGGTATCCCCCATGGATGTTCGCAACAGTTGCCACGTTTGGCAAGTTGGTTGGCAACCACAGTTTTCGATTTTGATTCAGCTGTTACTAGGAATATGCTGCCTCCCATCTTCTGGTTCAGTTTATCTCCATCGTCTCTTACGACACCCACGGGATATAATATGTAGAACTGCTGTAAAAACTTACCCACGGGTAAACGGTTACTACAGTTCATGAACACTGGCAACCAAAATAAGAATTCCCCGGTCGAGCCGACCTATTCTAAAGATTTTTGAACGTCCTTTTGAGGTTGTGAATTCCGCAACCTATGGTTTTTATTTTAATTTCTCAACACGGCTTGCTAAAGGTTTAGAAATTTTATATCACTAATATTGTATAATTGTTTACTTTACGCGTTTTGTAAAGTAAACAATTATAGTAATAACCATTAATTTTTGTTGTTATAATTGGATGCATTTTTTTAAAATATTTTTTTGCATGTAAAATTTAACCTTGTGTGCGTGTTGGATTTTCTGTAAGCCACAAGAGTTTTTGAATTAAATAAATAATAAAAAATAAAAAAAAATAAAAATGTGGTAGTTACATGTAGCTACCACCTTTGGTAAACGTTGGTACTTATATAGACGAATTCTTACGCTGAAAGTACGTCCTGCCGCCTAGTGAATTCGGTGTAATTCCGACTATAATAATCTTAAATTGAAATAAAGTATAAAATTGTGATTTCTTTTATATCAGGTGCACCTAAGAAGGAGATATATTTCGTGGCTCTAATCGATGTCCTGACGCACTACGGTGTTAAGAAACAGGTAATTTTATTTGTGTAACTATCCATACTAGATTATTTTTATTGATGAAGTTTGTTTTTAAAACTTTCAACTGCATAATCTTTTCTTTATATACAGGGTTATTTTTAAAGAACAGCCAAGTTTAAAACGTACGTTCAAATATAAAAATAATGATATACCGTTATTGCAGTTTTTGAAAATACGAGTAGATAAGGCTTGTAATTTTATTTGAAATTATCTCAAATTGAATATGATTTACGGGTAACAACGTTTTTGCTTACCGATCGACCCTTACGGATGTGTGCGTGCGCGGAAAAATCAGTTAAGATAGTGCATGACTACGCATTTTGAATTTGAAAGATTAAAAGGACAGAATGCCTAAGGTTTTTTTAATTAATTTTTCTTCACCATTTACCTTTATTAGTTTTTAATTAATTCTGAACCTTCTCTGCAAAGAAGTATGCCCACTTTCCATACATTTTTCCTGTCATTTGATTCTTTTTACAGGTCGCATCTACCTACAACTACTGTTGCATAAAATCAATTATTGTTTATAATAACATAATAACTTGTCACATTTTTATTTAGAGGTCAGGGAAAAATGCTATTAAGTAAATAAGTTTTTTTTATATTATAACCTGTCAACTGGAATATGGTATACTATGGCGTGCAAAGAAAAATAGCTTCCACACCATAGTATAAAACCACAAAATAGCATATCTGATCATAAAATAACAAGATAAGTAACAAAAAACAATTGGTTATTTTGAACATTCATAAACCACATGACAAATAAATTAAGATTTTCGTAGTCTGTGAAACAAAACGCGTAAACCACGTTTTTTTTTTAAAATATATATTGTCATAGCTTCTGGGCTTTTACGTCATTGTTAAACGCGTTCCTTCTCCAAAACTCTATTAAGAATGATAAACATATTAATATTACTTTTTTCCTGGCTTTATTGGAGAATTCTATTATGCGTTACGAAATAAGCAAAATAAAGGTAATTTTATAAGATATTTTACATCATTAGACGCGTTAGAAAATTTTCAAGTCAAAATTGGTCATGATTCTTTGGCCGGTTATTGCAAAATAGCCCTGTATAATAAAATTCTTCTGTACATGTGTTTGTTACTGTACTCCTCATAAAGCTAGACCGCTTTTGATGAATTTTTTGTATGTATTTAAGTGGTCCCTGTACGGTTTAAACTCACACTTAGACCCGGTAGGTGGTGCTATTGTTAAAATGAGGCGGTGCGGATCTTTAAAAAAAAATAGAATAAGGGTGACAAGGGAGCACACAGCCCACCTCATGGTAAGTGGTTGCTGTGGCCCGATTAAGAATCAAAATGCAGATGCGTTGTCACGATGGAATGCCTTGTTTTCAGTAAAAAGGGTCTCCGGTTCTCTATATTTACAATACGAAACACAGCAGCATTAAGCTGCTATTTTTCGCTGGTATTCTGTGAGAACGTGGCCCTTCCACGGTCGAGCATTCCTGCTACAACTATAACATAGCTGTAATATCGCTCTACCACGTATTAATATCCTAGTATTAACATATAACATATCCTTATAATATGTCGGTGGTCTGAAAAGTTTCCGACCTCAGAGTGAAGATGGCAGCACTCGCCAATAAAAGCTAGTGAATAAATTTCTTCTTCTTTTAAATTATGGCTTCTCGTGAATATAGTTGTGCTCATGAAGTTTAGAGAACAGGAGAACGATCGCCGTAGAAAATAGTGTCCCAGAAATATGGACACCATAAGTGAGGCGCTGCGATCGCTAAGTTCAGTCAATAAAAGTCATTTTCAGCCTATTTTTCCGATCAGATGCTAAACCACTTGCACATCCACGCACAATAAAATATTTCTCCATTTTTTTTATGTTTCTTTTTGTCAAAAATTACAAAATTACGGAGCATGAAAATTTTGTCATTAAAAATGAAATGAAAATTTGTACATTATTCAACTAACTTCATCTACTTGTACTCATAAACAGCTAACTTCGCAGTTACTACTCACCGACGTCAGCGCCGCTATACATTCTACAATTTTCAAGGACAGGCGGGCTATGCTTTAGTACGTAGTGATCCGTTCTCTTGTTCTCTAACCTTCATGGCGTAGTTGTTATTTGACAGTCGTTTGGGTGAGTCGATGTGAGTGTTTTTGTGAAAATAGACCCTTTTTACTGAAAATGAGGCATTCCATCTCAGTCCTCACGGGTGACAACGCATCTGCATTTTGATTTTTAATGGAAGATAGATGTAGATGTCTGTGGGCCGCAGCAACCACTTACCATCAGGTGGACTGTGTGCTCGTTTGTCAGCCTATTCTATAAAAAAAAATAGAAAAAATTGAGTATCGAACTGTCATTAAATTTTTGTTTATGAAAGGCAATACGTATACGCAAATCAAAGATAAGTTGGACTCTGTGTATTTGGATGGTAGCTGTAGAGTGAATTGTAAAAAAAATTCTGTTTGTTGAGGCACTTCGTTTTCATTAATTCATTGTAGCCTATCAAAAGTGTATATAGTCTCGAAAATAGGCCTCCCTCATCGAGAGTCTCATAGGGGGACTTACCATAGTTGCCACGCTTAGCAGAAGGATTTGCGATTGCAGTTATCAACAAGGGAATTGCTGCCCACCTCCTGTTTCAGTCTCCTGTTGCTACTCGTGCTATAATATATAGCGTCATACTATATTACAATCAATTGTACTATATATTACGGAAAAGTCGTGCTTTTTTATATTAACTCTGATTGAAAGTAAGTTTAACGAAAATATTTGTTTCCGTCATGAATTAAAAATGAAAGAAGAAAGAAATAGAGCATTAAATTAATATTTAATTAAAAATAAATTTTTATTTTATTTTAATATGAATCTATATTGATCAGACTGCTATTATATATTTTAAAGGCAACAGATCATTCATGGCCTAAACAAACAGTAATAACAATAAATAAAAAAATGGAAAAATACTTTAACATTGAAAATGAATGTGTACTTTTTTCTTCTAAATTCCTTAAAACTACTATATTTTTCTATCTTTTAAAAAAATACTCTATTTGTTCAAAAAAAAATATGGCAACCCTACTCCTATCGCCTCTTACAAGCCTGATAGGATGATACGGTGTGATGGATTCTCTTAAGCCGCCAATAATACACGGCTTCACACTTTACTTTCTGTATTTACCAGGTTGTTGTGAATTGATCTAAAATTATAACTTATTTTCTTTTTAGGCAGCAAAAGCAGCGAAAACAGTGAAATACGGCAGCAACGTCGACGGGATATCAACCTGCGACCCCGAGCAGTACGGCAAACGATTCATAGAGTTCGTTGCTAAAGCGATCGAAGGCAACTAGACGCAACTTGAAATGCCATGCTTCTTTTAGTTACGTACGTGTTATTGGCTCTTTTTATTTATGTTGTTTTTATTATGATTGTAATTTATGCCTCTACTGAGAGGAGTGGGGGGAGGGGTTAATCCGTTGATTTACTTAGAGGGAGTTTACATTCTGTGTTTCGAATTTACATGTGATGTGGGATCTAGCTTTGCTACTACTGGTGATTGACTTTCACAGTGCAGTCTATGTTTAGGTTGTTTCATAGAATACTATAATACATACATAATAGAACGGGGGAGTGAGCGGAGCCCGCGTAGCCACTAAAATGTCACTAACACGTCAATTCACACGTATAAATGTCAACACGAGATTTGTTTTAACGTTACTATTGTTTCCGAATTTCGCATACAAATTATTTAAGAAATGCCAAATTGCACCCTATTTACAAATAAATATGTATTAAAATTAAAACTATTTTTGTAATGATGATCTTGAACATTAATCAAAAGTCTAAACTGTGTAAATATACTCAGTCTGTCAACACAGCGAATCGGGTTTGGCGACGCCAATCCTCGTACAAAATAAAGTTGACAGCCATTCTATTGTGTATTATAGTATTCTTTGGGTTGTTTACATATTAATTATCTATTTTGATATAATTAGGCGTACACGCAATTTTAAAAAATTTCAAAAAATTTTTTGAGACTGCGTTTTTTTTTCAATATTAAAAGATTTAGTTTAAAGCCAGAAATACTAAAGTTAACTACTGTTTTAAAAATGGCATACGAAAATGTATTTAACAAGTACAGATACAGAACATCTCCAAAGAGTAATAACTATTTATTGAGTTTATTTAATATGTTGGAAGGTTGGTAGCATTGTTGAGACAATTCTCATGAAGACAAAAATGGAGTTAACAGGGTGTTGTTAGACGTGAACGGTTTAGTTTTCGTCGCACGTCGACTAAAAGAAGCATCGCTAATCTTGGCATAGACAATTTCCGCGTTATCGCTATGAGAATAAGGTTGATTATTGTTGTATACACAACCTGCCCGTGAACGGGCTTTGTCGTCATCTCCACACTTGCGATTGCGATTGAAAAATAATTCGAATGTAAAATGTTACGATCTACTTTATCTGTATTTTAATTTATCTATTTCTTAATCGATAATGTCCGTAAAAATTCACATTTTATCGCGAATCGATGAGGGTGAGTGATTAGTAGTGGGTTTTGTGACCAAAAGGGGCAGAATAGCTGAAGGCGTGGTTTTACTATTTTCTACACTCTTAACCCTTTCTATTAGCCTAAAGGAAAGGTTGTTTATGCATATAGAAAAATATTTAATTCGTGTTTTGGGTGTATCAAGTGTATTTAATGTCAGAATTAAATTTGTCCTGCGCCTGATCTCACTCTGGTCGAGTCGGACTGCCGACCCATCGGACTAAGAGAGTGAGAGAATAGAGTGCATGTGCTTGCGGCACACGGTAAAGCGAGTCACACTACGCAGATACGATATCTACTAATGATAACTAACACACTCAGCGCAGATAATAGTTTATATCTGTAAGCACTGAGCTATATCGAAAGATATATACAAATTCTTCGCCTTTTAGTAAATGCTAACGCAATACGTGCATCAAAATCAAAATCTGAATCTTATTCTGACGAACTGTCTAGCAAATCTAGAAGCATTATACGCCAAGTCATTGTAGGTAACACTCTGTATAAACAGTTCGCTCCAAAAACATGTCTAGTACGTTTGAAGGATTTCGAGTGAATATTATCGTATTTGCCTAGTGGGTGTGATACTTTCAGATGATTAAGTTTTTATACGCAGATAAAATATTATCGTATATCTGCATAGTCAGTGACTCGTTTTATACACTATTAATTCTGTCCTGAACAGATGGCTGGTCTCCGTTCAGACTGGCCGTCGTGACCAAAATTCGGTACTGGAGGACATATTAATAATTTGATATATAATATTTACGACTTATTGCATTACACATCATAGTCTAATATTCAGCTTTAACATGGGTTAGAACTTTAAATTTAAACCAAGTTTCTTGGACAAGATCTCGGCTTACAGCATTGCACATTATTTAGCATTAAAAGTAATATTTAAATAGCCAGAAAACTTTTAACTAGACTAGACAATGCTACGTAGGGCCGGACTCTGCAATTAAATGAAACTTTTTCTAATTATTTATATAGCATTAAAGGCCAATAACTTATGTCTTTTATACAACACATTCAACGCTACTAATAAAGAAAATTTGCAAATCGTGTTTACTCATAATAATTTGTATGATTTATTGCATAATATGGTCGAAACAGTTAAGAATGGGCTAACTTGTCTAACTAAAGAATGTGGTATATATTCTTTGTCGCGTTTACAAAGTTGGTTGACAAAATTGGCCTTCACAAAGCACTTTTTGAATGTGAAGAAAGCTATATGTCATCGCTTCATAAAGTACCTACTACAGCAGACTTTGGAAGAAGAAGCGTTATTTCTATAAAATAAAGTTTTTATCTCGTTATTCAGTATTTAAACGATGTTCTCAAATATTTTAAGTTAACAAAGGAATATTAAAACCGTCGCCTATGCTATGCTCTACCTTGATCGAACTCACAAACTGATATTAAATCAACAAGTGCACACTCGCAATAATATTTGTAACTCGTTATTAGCTTTTATAATGTTCCGCTGTCGGGTAGATTAGTATCGACAAATATTAAAAATATTATAATATAATAATAGTGATAATTGTTATAAATGTCATTGAAATTGAAATTTTCTAGTGTTAAAAATTGGCTAAATATTTACCTCAGTAAAAAATCGATATAAAGTTTTATAGACGATTTACGGCTGTTTTATTCTAAGGTTACTCGTCTATATTATATTGTGTATTCCATAAAATTTTGTACTTTATCAATCGCAAAGTTTTGCTTATAATGTAATTTTAACATCACTTTGCCAATACTACTAAATAGTCCGCTTAGTTTTTGTCTAGCGTAGCGTTTAAAGTTATTACTGTGAAAGATTTTGTTATTTATTCTAATACGAATTAAGACTTGGAATGTTATAAGGGGGATTTTGGTTGATGATCGGTTTTCCGCCGTTACGACTTTTAGTCTATTATTCAGTTTGTGATTTATATTTGAAGAAAATTTGTATTATTCGGATGTCTCGAACTACGTGGTTTTATGATAATAGGTATATTGTAAATGAAGATAAAACAATTGATGGATTGTATTTTTTAAACTTCATTCCGATATATTTATTCCCCAAACTCAACTTTTACAGTATTCTAAAAGGGTTTTTAAAATATTTAAATATCAGTCAAATTGAAAAATATATTTTCTTGGACATTTGTGAACTCTATTGTATTTCAAAGAATAGCTTTTGTGATAGATTTTTAAGTGGTGTTTGTATTACTTTATAATAATTTTAATTCAGGTATCTACACGCATGGACGTCGCTTACATTTTTTCTAAGATGGGCGGGCCCAGAGACTTCCTCAAGTTTAAGATATTCTAGGGGAAATTATTAATTTTCCCATCAAACATTTTCATTAAATTACTGATAATTTGAAGGCTCATTCAATGAAGTGAATGATGTGTGACGCAATAATCTAAATCTTCTGGAAAAATTGTATAGATATCGAAACGGAAATACTTAGGTATTAATTTCAAACATATTCAACCCTACAAGGCTTTCCATTTATTATTACGTAACTTTGGTAAATTAGATAATGGGATAGTTCAATAAAAGGTAAATCAGTTGTGTTAATGCACTATTACTATAAAACATCTGTGTGTATGAGCCTTTATAATCAAATGTACCTAACTTCAAGTGGAATTTCCCGCCACATTACTGGATAATTAGATGCTATAAATAGACTTAAGGCGATATGCACGGTTCGTTTTTGCCTTTAATTTTCAATGAATCATTTCAAGTGAAAACATATTAATCTATTTGAATTATTTGACCATTTAGCCTTCCCGATGAAAGTAGTTTAGCCCCGGTAACTTACACCGGCGTCATTTAATATTGAACTAAAAATGCAAGATTGTTTGATTAATTCTACATGCACATCTTTTTGATCTATAGTGTTAAGTATATTTTTCAGACTTAGTCTGTTCTGCGAGAGTTGATAATAAAGCAGGAGGCTCAGAAGGACTAGAACCCAAAGCCGTAAAGTTATTTAAAAAAGCAGGATTTCTAAACTCATTACAAATTAATTAATTAATTCTGAACGGAATGACAATATTGACGCCGCGTCGGACCTCGCTCGGCCCGAGCTTGACAACTGCGAGCCTCGTACTACAAAACTCCTATGCTTGCGGCGATAGGCGATGCCCGTTATACAGATTATGATACTTAAACGACAGTCGCTTTTGAAAGACGTTTTCATAATATTTATCAACTCTCATCGAACAAAAATATTTATCTAATAAAGATAGGGTTTTAATATATTTTGTGAACGATGAAATTAAACAAACGTGTTAACACAAGAACCTATCATCGTTCAACACGAATGTACATGTTTCGCTAGAAATGATTCACCGAGAATTAACTGCCCAATATCACCTTTACCAACGTAAGATTCCTGAACAATGTGTTAGTTATGAAATGATTAAAATTATGTCATATGTGTTGCCATTGTTTAGGTCGATAGTTGTATTTTAATTAGTAGTTGTATTACTTATAAGTTTTTATTGATTATTTTTTGTTAAAGGTGACGGAAGTCGCTAACCGTATATTTATTGTAAACGATATTGGTGGCTTCGTTATAAACAATCGGTATTTTAGCGACACGATTGAAATTGAAATGTTATTTCTCTAGTCTCCTACTCTTGTAAAGACAAAATGTCTGGAAAAAATTAAAACATTTACTTTTGTAATATTCGGTTTATAAAGTTTCTGAAGCACAAGTGTTTTCTTTTATTTTCTATACCTTTACCATTTAATAGTACTATTAGCCTTGTTTATGGTTTTCTGTGAAATTATGTA